CTCCTTACCTTCGCAGGCCTTTTGGCGCTCGCTTCAGGCATGGGGAGGATGAGGGGGGGAAGGGGGAGGAGCAGGAGGGGGGGAGAGGAGGAGGAGGAGGAGGAGGGGGAGGAAGAGGAGGAGGAGGAGGTCAGGAGGAAAGAAGGGGAAGGAGGAGGAGGAGGACGACGAGGAGGAGGGGGGGGAGGAGGAGGGAGCACGGACAAAGGACCGCTCGTCCGCAGGCCTCTTGGCGTTCGTTTCAGACATCCCTGCGCGCGTGAAACGAGCCGCGTTGCGCGTGGGTGATTTACGGGCGCGTTGCGATGCCCCTCTGGGGCGCGCAAGTGTGTTGGATTGTGTTGTGTTTGGGGGGGGGGTGCGCGCGCGTTCGGTTGTCCGCTGTTCCATTGCAGCAAATTATACACGCGCGTGCGCGCGTTTGTATAACTTGTTGCAACTTCAAATGGTGAACCTGCGGGTCTTGCTAGCCACGCACCTTAGACATGGGGCGCACCCCAGGTTGGTGCAGCGGGCATATTTGCGCGCGCGTGCGCGGTTGTGTGCGTCGTGAGGCTTCTTGCGGCTTCTTCGTGTTGATCGACGCGGTCGCTTCTCTGGATTGGGGGCGGCGATCTTGGCCACTGAAGTTGCATCGTCTGCGCGACAGCGCAGACGTCATCCCAGCGTCAGGCTTTAGACTTGAGTTGCAGCACACCGTGCCGCTGCTGGCTCGCGAGATCGATCTGTCGAGCGACGCGTTCTTGGGACTGCCTCCAAGAGCGCGCGGGCGCGGCCGCGGCGGCGGTGCGTCTGGCGGGAGGGGCCGCGCAGGCCGATTCGGCGAGTGCCTGTCGGGATCCTTGCGCAGCGGCCTTGCTAGGGCCCGAACGGTTTCTGTTTACGAGGTTGCCCCGTTGTTGCTCCTTCACGTGGTCAGAACGCCATGTCGGCCCCCTGGGGTGGCGTTTGTAGTTCTGAGTGAACGAAGGCACTGCGCGCGTTGCTTGACTACCTTTGCACGTGCAACATGTGAATCTCGCGTGCCTTCGAGGAGTCTGAATGCACACGTGCGCATGTTAGACACGAGGGCACGGCGGATATAAACATGTACATGCAGTATGGCTGTTCAAGCAAAGCGCACGTGAACGGAGACTCCCTGCAGGATGGGGGGGGGAGCGGAGCCTTGCTTCCCGCGCAAAGGGCCGAGCGGTTCTCGTGACCGCGGGGGCGGCGTCGGCGAGGCCTGCAGCAGCGGCGCCTCCTGCTGGCCGAGGTGGCAGGCGGGGGGGGGGATTCAAAGCGGCATCACAGGTCAGAGGCCGCGAGAGCACCCTCGCGGGAAGGCCACCGCACATGGCCATCAAAGCAACGACGCACCAGGAGATCCGCAGGATGCCGATCCCACAGCAAGGTCCATCGCCAGCGCAGGCGGGGGTTGCAGCGGTGGAGGGCGCAGCGGTGGAGGCTCCAGCGCCGAGGGGGGGGCGTCGGTCAGCGCGAGCGCAGCCGCAGCCGCAGCAGGGCCGACGGTAGCGGCGAGAGTTATTCGGACTCTCTCTCTGGGCTATGACCGAGCTCGCGAAGTCAGCTCGCGCGGGCCGAGCGGCGCAGTCTTTCCCGCTGCGTCCTCTTCTGTCGAGCTTTCTCCTCCTGAGCTAATCCTGGGCCCCTCCTCAGCTCCTCCCCAGCTCCTTCAACTCCCCCCCCACACACACACACACACACACGCACACACACACGCACACACGCACACACACACACACACGCACACACACACGCACACGCGCACACACACACACACAAACACACACACACACACATTCACACATTCACATTCACATTCACATTCACACACACACACACACACGCACACACACACACACACGCACACGCGCACACACACACACACACACACACACACACACACACACACACACAACACACACACATTCACATTCACATTCACATTCACATTCACATTCACATTTCACATTCACATTCACACACACACACACACACACACACACACACACACACACCACCCCCAGCTCGTTAGCCGCGCCCTCGCCGGCAATTCCTCAGCCGCGTCCTCCTGCAGCCTGGCTTCAGCCAGCCCTCGTCAGCCAGCCTTCATCCCGCTTCAGTCTTGCCGCGCTGGAGCTCGCTCGTTCGAGGGTCTCGCAGGAGGCGTTCGGCGCTGGCGCGCGTTATATATATATATATATATAGAGAGAGAGAGAGAGAGAGAGAGAGAGAGAGAGAGAGAGAGAGAGAGAGAGAGAGAGAGAGAGAGAGACGAGAGAGAGAGAGAGAGAGAGAGAGAGAGAGAGAGAGAGAGAGAGAGAGAGAGAGAGAGAGAGAGAGAGAGAGAGAGAGAGAGAGAGAGAGAGAGAGAGAGAGAGAAGAGAGAGGAGAGAGAGAGAGAGAGAGAGAGAGAGAGAGAGAGAGAGAGAGAGAGAGAGAGAGAGAGAGAGAGAGAGAGAGAGAGAGAGAGAGAGAGAGAGAGAGAGAGAGAGAGAGAGAGAGAGAGAGATTGCGGGCACGCGCTCTTCGTGATTTTTTTGTTTCTGCGTCGCGCGGCGTTCGCGCGAGTGACAACAACCCATCAGCAATTCCTCTCGCGCTGCGCTTGGACAGGAGTGAGGGTGATAGCAGTTTTGGTCTCTGTCGTCCTCAGTCCATAATTGCGTCGTTTTGCTTTGTCTTGTTTGAGGTGCGCGGTCTGGGGCTCGCAATCTCATTCGTTCTGAGGTTGGTTGTTCCAGAGCCACACCGATCTGGGGGGCCGCGCTGCTATTGCTTGGAGCCGAGGATGGTGCACGCAGTGTTTTGGGCCAGTGGTTGTTGTTCAAGTCGGGCGTTCACGCTGCCACTGTTCTGGGGCGTGGGGCCGCCGCTGATGCCGTGCGGGGCACATGCTTGCACTGTTTGGGTGTCGAGGCTGTTTGGGGGCCACGCAAGGCACGAGGTACCCTGCTGTTTTTGCTCGCGAATGCTTCTTGCAATGAGGGGCCCCGACGCGGTTCACAAGCCGCCGCTCAATTCGTAGCCAGTCGGTTCAGACTCGTTGATTCGCAGCACGCTGAACATCATCTGAGTTGTTACAACTTACAGCACGCCATCCTCTTCGATGGGCTTCGAGCTGGTGGGGGGCCTTCAACTTGCGGCCACTCTTCCCGATCAGCCCGCGGGGTTCGAGAAGCGCATCGACGTTGAGATTCCAGCGGCGTCGTTGCATGTCGGAGGGAGGGTGGATGAACAAGTTCGCGCTCCTGTGAAAGCGCCCGCTGCCGCTGTCGCCGAGAAGGAGTGGGGTGGGAGGGTCGACAGCAGCGTCGAGAGCAGTTCGAAGAATTCTGACCTTGTGGCGCCAGGCAACCTTGATCCCAATGGGCATCGCGGACATGTGCTTCCTGAATTAGGGCCTCTGCGTTCCGATGCGAATTTATGTTTTTGTCGCGCCCCGCCGCGAAGGGGCCTGAGCCGCAGTCCGAGCCTGTTTTGCCGCAGCTAGAGTGCGCTAAGAACGGCGGCGAACAACCTTGTTCGCAGCGAGAGAGCTGCCAGCCTAGGGCAGGCACTCCGCGCGAGGTTGTGCAAGTAGACGACAGCCCTGTCAGGGAGACGCGTGAACGCGTCAGAGTTCTCGCCGCTCCCGCGTCGCTGTCGGCTGAGGCTGAGCGCCTGGATACTCCGATCAAGACATCTGTCTCGGGCGCGGCCCTCTCGCAGGATGAGTTTATGATGGCTGTCTTTGTCAACGGCGGCGATCCGCCGCATGCGAGGGGCCCGTCGCCCGCGCCCAAGCGGCGGCGTTGCTGGAACCTTGTCGGAAATGAGCCTGTGGCGAATCCGCCGCAGGAGTCTTCTGCGCGCCCCTTTGGGGTGCTCGGCCATCAGCCCAGGAGCGCGGCGTCTCTGGCCGCAGAGCTGAGTTAGGAACTCAGCTGCGCGCGGAGAGCCCGCGTCGCCGTCGCCCGCTTCTTCCTGCGGCATGGGGGGTGGGATGGGGCGACGGTGGGCGATGGTCATCGCGAGCGTGATCGACGACGGCGGCAATTATCATAGCATTTATATAACATGTACGCATGACAGCCAGAAGGGGGAGGTCAGGACAGGACGCGCGCTCACGTTACAGTTTCAAGTAGTTCGCCGCTGTCGATGCCGGTAGCGCAGCCGCGCGCGGTGGATTATATCCAGTGGTCTGTTTGGAGACCGTTCGGCGCAGACTCGGTTGTGCAACGCGTTATTCCTCTCATCCTCGCTCGCCTGTCTTCGCCCTTCTCTGCCCAACCCCGTTCACAGGCGATGCGACAGGATGAGGGCTGGAAGAGAAACTGCCCAAGGTTGCGGCCCCGAGATGCCCGACTATCGTTCAAGAGGCCTCCAGGAACGATACATGGGCTGCCACCCAGACCATTCGGAGCTGTTCAGAGGGCTCCTAAGAGAGCCCCAAAAGGGGCGCATGAGGCTCACCGAGGAGCACTCTCCCCCTCCTGCCCTCCCCCCCCCCATCTCCTGTCAGTGGAGCGTGTTGTCCACGGATCTCAGCCTTTCGCTTCGAGATGTCCTCGCAATATCTGATGCAATATATATTGATATAAGGCGGGGTTCCAGCTCGAGAGAGCTCTGATATACCCAACTCCAATCAAATGATGGCAACACAAGAGAGACAGCGATAAGCAATCTTATTCCAAACAATCCAAGCGTACGTGTACGGTCCCCCTGAGCTTCGGACCGAGTTTCTAAGAACTCACCAGACTGGCTCCAGTCTGGCTTCGCGCCAGAATGGCTGCGGACAGGCGGCCTAGGCAGGGCCTAGACAAGGGCGCACAGGGGTCTCACTGGGCCCCCTGGGCTCCTATACTCACAGAGGGTTGTCTCTACCTCCTCAAAGTATCGAACTTCGAACGAGACTGACATGCCCCGAACCGTCTGTGAATCCTCGCCTGTCTGTCCACATAGCTCAGAGGGTTCATTATGCCTAACTTGACCTGGTACAGTGAACCTCCGCCTCGTCATTGAGGCGTCGCGTCCTGCATCATCTGCTGTCGCAGTCCAGGGTGACGAAAGTCACTCACAATGTCCAGGTCAGTATCCTCGATCTCCATGTAGTCTGGAAAGAGCTGCCACGCATCATCTGCATCCACTGCAAAGCCCGTCTCGAGCGTGTCCAAACCCTTATGTTTCCGATGCTTCTCGGAGATGAAGTTAGAATCGTAGATCAGCTTCCAGGTACCTCGTTGCTGCCAGAGATTGTAGCTCGCTCGGGCCTTCTCCGCGTTCTTCGTCATGCAGTCGCTGAGCTGAGCGCCACTATGACACCAGCGTAGGGATGTCGCAGTAGCTGCCATACCTCTCTTCAGGGCCAAGGCCTCCAGCGCGCTCCTTTTGTCCTTCATGCCCAGCGCGCTGCTCTCCGACCTGTCCAGCGCGTCGAATACTCCACGGCAGTCTAATACCAGCGCTCCGGGAATGCGAGCACGTCCTTGTGCCCACTGCTTCAGAGGCACTGGACCAATGAGAATCTCGCTCAGCAGGAGACGGCAGAACTCCAGCTCCTCTTGAGCTTCGCTGGCTGCTTGAACTTCCGCTGCGCTTGAGCTTCGACATACCCTGGGCAGCTTTGCTGATGCCCATGAAATCAGTGAAATCGGCGCCTCTTTATTCTGCAGCAGCGCCTGGTCCGTCATAAAGATCAGAAAGCCTCCTTGCGAGGATCCATCTCTGCGTACATTCCAAGCTGCGTCTGAATACCCCACCAGACACGGATTGATGTGCTTCTCCATGATCAGCTCCTTGACAGCTTCCATTCTCGCTCTCCTGACCAGCTTGTTCGCCTGCATCAGGGCGTTGATCGTCGCCGTGTTCGTGTAGGCGAGTAGCAAGGACAACTCGGCGCTGATGAGTGGAACGCCTTGAGTGGATAGCCACATCAGTTGTCCCAGAACTTCGCGTAGATGAGAAGCCTCTCCTGGTGTCACTCCAGCTTCTGGATCCTTCCGACGTTGAGAGGATATGTCAATATCCTTCATTTCCTGCGCGTAGTCGACCATGTTCAGATGGATGCGACCCCAGCTCTTAGTACGACCCTCGCATTCTTGCCGAATCCGAGTCCCACACTGAACGAAGTCTCGAGTCTCCCAGCTACCCCACTCGTAAGCGCCATGTAGTTATTGAAGTGCGTCTATTGCGGCATGAAAGCCATTATTAATCGCAATCATGAAGTCGTCCACGTGTGCGACTGCAATGCCGACGAGACGGCCTTCGGAATCTCTTAAGCACCAGAGGCACGGCTCCGTCACTGACTCGACCCAGCCGAGTTTCTCCATGTCTTTGCGTACTCTGGTCCACCACCGTCCTGGAGCATTTACCAGGCCGTAGACGGCCTTCTTCAGCTTGATGCACTGATGATGTTCAAGTCGCAAGGCTTCTCGAAGTTCTTTGACGGGTTCCGCGAGAACGTTCCGATCTTCTTCTCCCAGATCTCCTTGAAGAAAGGCGGCCTTCACATCGCCCTTGAACACCTGAAATCCCATCGAAGCTGATACTCCCAAGAACATCTGTCGCGCTCTGCGGCTGCACGTAGGGGATGCCGTCTTGATCTGCCCCAAGCTCGGATCCGTGTAACCAAGAACCACCAGGCGTGCCTTGAGGTCGCCCGTCTCCTTCTTGGCGATGACCCAGCGCATCTTCATTAGCGCTCCGGGATGTACGCCAGCACGGCTGGCCGCTTCACAGACTCGATACTTCAAGAACGACTTGATCTCGTTCTCCTTGGCGAAAGGCAGCTGCTTCTTCTCCTCCGGTGTGAGGTTGTTCAACTTGACCTCGACCTTGTTCTGCTTCACCAAGGCTGCCAGCATTTCTCTCAGGATTCTTCTCCAGCTGGCCCAGGTCCTTCTCGTCTATAGTGAAGCCCACCAATACTGCGAGCCCTGTTTTCTCCTCCGTAGAATATCCGACGAGGTCTTCCTGCTTCGCCTTCCGTGAGTACTCCCAGGGCGACTTCCATTCCGGAGAGACTTCTTCCTCAGGATCTGTGCGTCCCAGATCGGCCATGTAGATGTCAGGCGCCTGCACTTTCAGCATCTCCAAGTAGGCCACGAAGTCGGCGCGATGTCTCTCTAGGTCTCTGTCATTTGGAGGTTCAACACTTGCTTCCCGCTTGTTGATACCTTCTGGAGGTGGCTCGTCATCCCAGGGAACTTCGGGTTGAGGTCTCTCAGCAGGTCGGTCATGTCCTCCTCCTGGCTCTTCGTGAACTTCTGCTGGTTCTCCTGGTAGATCTTCTTCTTCGTGATCCGGTCCATGATCGTCGCCTGCCTCAGAAAAAAAGTGATCTCCCTGGTCCCGAGGTGGTTCTCGGTGTTGATCTCCTCCCGGTTCATCTTCACCCTCGGGAATGTCGTGCCACTCGTCTGGTCCTGGTTGGTCGGCTAGGTCATCGAACGAGCCCTTCGTAAGGTCACGTACCATCCTCTGGAATTGGTCTGAGCTGCCTGCCGAAATATTCTCCAGCGTCTGCTCCGCCTTCGTGACGGTGCGCAGGTGTGCCGCTGCTGCTCGTACCAGTCGATCACCATCCACAAGCCAGACGACTCCGCGACGTTCTGCTACTCCGTTCTTGACCTCGCGCTCTTGCATCAGCACCGTGGCTGGACCATGGAAACGTCCAGACATCCCCTGCTTCGTCTTGTGGCTGTTACCCTTGGCGCTTCTCCAGTAGTGTGCCTTTTCGCCAGGCTCCCAGACCTTAAACGGTCGTGTCTTGGCTAACAGCGCTCTTTTCGTCTTCTCGGATAGGTAGTGTTCTACACAGGCTTTATACGCAGTCCGTTTGTTCAGCACTAGCTTCTGGAATTGATCCTCCTTCACCTCTGCGCCGAGAGTGGAGGGATTCTCCTCATCTTGTAGACCATGTCCGGCGGGAGTGCGACCCATGAGGAGCATAAGTGGACTGTAGCCGTTGTGTCTCATCAGGTCGTTGTTGGCGGCGCACGCCCACGTGAAGATCTCCTGCGGCTCGATATCGTCTGGAGCTTCCCAGGCCATCCGAGTCGCAATCTCCTTGATCGTCTCTATGCACCTCTCGACCACGCCCATGCGCCAATGGGCTTCTCCAGGTTCTGGTCGCCATTCAATGCCATGACCTGATAGCCACGCACGATGTTCCGCTTGTCGAAAACAACCTTCAGGATCTGATCTCAGAACTTCTGGTTTGCCGTAATGCTGGATCCAGCTCTTCAGGACCGTATCCTTCATCTCCTGAGCTGTGGTGTTGCCGCAGTTCGTATCCATTTTCTCCTTGGTGAGCACGTGGCACGTAGTGAAGCGACTACCATAGTCTGCACACAGGGTGCCTCTGATGTGATACGTCCTCCGAGGATGTGTCCAATAGAAGTTGTCGCATCCTAGCTCTTTCCCAGGCGTCGGAACGGACGGCTCTGAGCTCGCGATTGGACGAAGTTGGAAACGTTGAGCGGCCTTGCACGACGGGCATTCATAGTGCTTGCACAGATCGACCAGCTTCTTGTCGGCCTGCCGAGTCTTGAGAGCGGCCTCCACTGTCGTCAAGCTGCAGTGTCCGAAGTTGCGGTGCAGGTGCGCGATGATGGCCTCCAAGTCCTTGAGCTCCTTCTTTGTGCATCCTTCTGCACTCTTGGGCAGCGGTAGACGTAGGTTGCCCAGCCATCGTTGATCTTCAGGTAGTCTGTCACTTGCTGCTGGCTCCTGACGTCCAGGTTCTACTTCCCTTTCTGTGGGTGCTGCGGCTGGTTCGAGAGTAGGTCGTTTAGGTTGTCCTTGCTGCCCGACATCTTCAGGAGACCGTTTACCTCGGATACGACGTCGTAGATGCTCACGAACTGTAAAGACCCCGTCGTCTTTCGCGTCGACTTCCTTGACAAGGTACGAGAGGGCTTCGTCGGACGTTATCTTCTTCATGAAGTGTTTCGCTATCTTCTTGCACATGGTCCCGGGATAGTTCGCCGTTAGCGCCACACGAGTCCCTCCTTCGATCGGTAGATGAACATGTAGGTCTTGACAACGACGTCCAATCTCCTTCTCGAACGTCTCATCAGTTGTAGCTATATACCATTCCTTCTTTAGCAGCACCTCTTCCTTCTCATCGCGCATATCGTACATGCACCCGTGGATGGTGCATCCATGCAGCTCCTGCTTGAGGCTCTTGAAGTTGCCTGTCCATGATCTGCATCTCCCTGACTGCTCCAGGTAAATGTCACAGAATCCAGCCTCTCGAAGTTGTGTGATCGCCCAGACCATGTTGCGCTGGATCTTTCGAGTTTTGATCAGCTTCTTCTGCGCTTCTTCGGTCATGGGGTTCAGGTTCTGCAGAGGGCTCTCTGCTCCACAAGGAGGTGAGATCCAGACCTTCCGTGGCCTTTTCTCCATCAGCGCCTGGACCAACTTCATGGCTCCTCTCCTCGACGTGAAATCGTAGCCGTTCCAGTTACTGAATCGTTCAGCTCGTCCTCCTGCCTCTAGAACGGCCTTCGTCAATCTCGAGTCTGAGACGCATGCCACTTCTGCTAGATCCAGGCGTCCATATCGTTCTGCAGTTTCCCATGCTTCACCTGGTAGAGCTCCCAACGCGGTGGCCGCGATCAGAAGTGCGTTGACCATCGGGTTCTTCAAACGAGGTGGAAGTCTCCTGCTGGCCTCGGCATGCCTGAGGGCGTTGGAAGATCCTCGGGCACTGGAATTCCGTAGGCACTCTTGCTGACCATCGGTTCTGGAACGCCTTGCCGCTTCATTGCCCTCGGAGGATCGATCATCTCCTCCACCTTGATCTCGACGTCTGGTTTTGACGGGGCTGACGTCTGAATGAGACCCTTCTCGATGATCTCCTTGGCCAGGCGCGTCTGCTCCTCCTGTCGAATTGCGTTCCTCTCGTTCTCGATGATCATCTGCACCTCTGTGTCCGAGAGCGTCCTGATGACCTCCGCCGACAGTCTGCTTGGCAGCGGGCGGCTTGGCGTAGGCTGTGGAGCACTTCGCGTGGAAGTCGGCTCGCTCTCTGAGGTGCTGTCCGTGTAGTTCATGTCCGGGTTGCAGGAGGGACGAACTCGTGGTAGTTGAGCATGCCCCGTCGCCTCCAGCCGCTGGAAGTGCTCGCGCGACTTGATGCAGAGGCTGAGCTGCTGGTCCTGCGGCTTTGCGAAGATGTACTTGAACAGGATCTCTCCGCAGTCCCTGCACTTGATCTGATCCACGCGTGCGTTCGTCCCCTGACGTGTCTGGTTCCGATGCGCACATGATCTGACCATTGACTGCCCCGATGAAGAGATTCGGGTTGTCCGGCTGAGAGTAGCTCCTCTGAGCCAAAACGGTTCTGGGAAATACTGATATTCCAATCCACCGAAACTGTTCGACTTGCCGAGCGTGTTTGTGATCTATGAAACTATCTTGAACCGTGATTCCTTCGCCCCTTTCTCTCATCATGTCTGTGATCCGTTCCCCGTGAAGTGCCGAAATTTCCTGATCATCGAAGTCTCGCGGATCGCATCTTTGAAAACGAACCCGACGATGAACTCTACATAGGGCCTCTGGAGTTCCAATCCAAGTGTCCTTCTTAACCTTGTTTCCCTCGACCCAGTTCGCGTACTTCAGGAGGTGTTCTAGAATCGGTTTCATCATCTGGGTGCTCAAGTTCGGGAACCTTGATCTTATTTGGATACCTATTTCGAGTAGCTGCTGGAGCTCTCTGGGAAGGTCTTCAGCGTCCTTAGGGCCCCTGGTAGCGACAACGATGGATGACGTCTTTCCACAGTTGCCGTGTCGCGACCAGGGTGCTGTCCCTATTCGCAACACAAGGCTGAGCCAGCGTCGCTCAGTGCCGTCAAGTCCAAGGCAAGGTGGCCAGACGCCAGCACCCTCGTGGGAATCTCCTTCTTGAGCCTCCGGGAATACACAGTGTTCCGATCGTAGTCGATCACTAGCCCAAACTTCTTCAGCATGTCGACTCCCAGCAGGATGGGGGACGGGCGGTCTAGCACGTAGATCTCGACTGTCTGGTCGTCGAGGTTGTGGACCTGAAATGAGACCTTCGAGGGAGCGTCCGCCCGGTCGCCACCCGCGAACGAGAAACCCAGGCCCGCCCCCGGGTTCACCTCCATCGGGTGCTGCAAGTGCTCGTTCAGGTACTCCAGCTGCTCAACGCCGCCTACGGACCTGGACGCACCGCCGTCCAGAAGTGCGTAGCCCTTGCACTCGTCAAGGCTGAAGCCGATGAACGTGCCGTCCTCGAAGTTGCCGTCGTCCTCCACCAGGACCTGCTCCTCGGTGCACGTACCCACAAAGCTGTCGAACTCCACGATGTGTTCCAGAGCACCCACGAAGCTGTTGAACGCCCTCTTCCGATCTGCTGTCGTTCCACCATTGCCCCGATTGGGACACTCTCGAGCACGATGACCTTGTTCTCCACACAGCAGACACGTATCCTTGTCCACCTTCTTCGGCGCCGTACCTGATGAAGTGTTCTGCCTCGTAGTCGATGGTGTGCCGCGGCCTTTTCCTTTGTTCTTGCCCTTGCCCTTGCCTTTGGAGGGTGGTCCACCTCGGCTCACAGCACGACCTCTTCCAGCTCCTGGACCTGGCTGAGTAGGCATGGCATCGTACGCTCCCAGTCCGACCACTGGGAAGTAGCCCCTAGCGTTCTTCACCTCATTGATGAGCTTCCGAGCCTCCAGGAACGTGCGAGAAGCGGCGTATGCTGTCTCCGTCCACTCGTCAGCTCGATCTTCTCCAGGAAGGACTGCCGCCGCTAGACTTTCGTCCTGTCCAGGATGCTCCTCTGCGATCGAGGGATCCCCGATCGTCGCCGTCATGAGCTCCTCGGCGGCTGCCATCGCCGTCTCCGTCAGGTCGGTGGCCTCTCCGAAGCCGTCGTGGTAGGCCTCGTCGTAGATCTCTTCCGCGTAGGCGGTCAGCTCGCCTATCTGCTCAGGGTCCTCGAAGATCGCGTGCACTCCTTTTCTCGATGTGTACCCTTTTTGCTTATCTCTGGCTGCCAACTGTTCTTCGGACCACTGCTCTGCCAGCGCCTTCTTCACGTCTTGGCACATGTACGAGTTGCCCTTCGGACCCGACGTCGCCAGCACAGCTGCTTGCTCGGATGGGTCCAGACCCGTACCGTCCAGCAAGATCAATCCCAGGATGAATTCGTGCATGAAGCCCGTCGCTGGAATGTCATTGCACACCGCGTGGAGGGCTTTGCCGATCTTGCTGAGATGAATGTCGAACCTCGAGACCCACTTCTTCGGTCCCTCTCCTGGGTTCCTGTAGATGCCTCTCATGAACTCTCTCCACTTCGACACTGCTTCCTGCATTGTCACGGTACCTCGGACGCCCTTCAGCGCATTCACGACTCGCTTGGCCCCGTCTTCCTTGACGAGGTCGTCCAGCAAGACCTTCTTGGCTTCGTGCCACTGCTGGGAGTCCTCGTCCATTGCCTGCACTAAACGCGGGCCTAGATAGACTCTGTCCTCCTTCTTGGCGCCGAGGACCCACAGCTTCACCTTCTCTTCGAAACTCTCTAGTGTCGAAGCCTCGCCATTCCATACGGGAATCTTGACTCCACTTTGTCCAGACTCCATCCTTCTTGATGTCACTGGAGATCGAGTGATTCACCTCGAAGTGGGCTGCCACTTCGTCTCGCTACCAATGTCAGTGGAGCGTGTTGTCCACGGATCTCAGCCTTTCGCTTCGAGATGTCCTCACAATATCTGATGCAATATATCTTGATATAAGGCGGGGTTCCAGCTCGAGAGAGCTCTGATATACCCAACTCCAATCAAATGATGGCAACACAAGAGAGACAGCGAGAAGCAATCTTATTCCAAACAATCCAAGCGTACGTGTACGGTCCCCCTGAGCTTCGGACCGAGTTTCTAAGAACTCACCAGACTGGCTCCTGTCTGGCTTCGCGCCAGAATGGCTGCGGACAGGCGGCCTAGGCAGGGCCTAGACAAGGGTGCACAGGGGTCTCACTGGGGCCCCCTGGGCTCCTATACTCACAGAGGGTTGTCTCTACCTCCTCAAAGTATCGAACTTCGAACGAGACTGACATCTCCCCACCCACGCTTCCACTCCAACAGGTCATTGCATTCGCCATCACGTCGTCGCCCCTAGCAGCGACCTTTTAACAGCGAAACGCGCCGTGCCAAGCTCGCTCCCATCATCGCCACGTGGTGGCGACGGTGGAAGCCCCAACGGTGGGGGCGAGCTTGGCGCGGCCCGCCCTGGCCCTAAGAGGTCGTCGCATCTCGGCGCGTTTTCGTGTGGGTCTTGCGGGGGAGCCGCGAGGGGGGTGATCGTTCGCCTTCCAAGCTTCCTCCCGGAATTTGCCAAACGACCTCTCGGCGCTAACGCCATGTCCCGAGAACCCGCCGAGGAAGAGAGAACCAGCCCCAAACGGACATGTGTCGGACGGTGGGGCTTGGCGGCCAGGCAGTCGCAACGTTGGCCCAGAGTGGTGGGGTTCCAAGCGTGACCGCATGGGGTCCCACAACTACTCGTCCATTGTACCCCGATCACCATTGGCCCCAAACTTTAGCAGCGTCGGCCCCAAACAGTTTGAGCGTGGGCCCCAAACAGTAGCAGCGTGGACCACAAACAGTACGCGCCGCGTGGGCCCCAAACAGTGCAACAACAGAAGCACTACGCAAGGGCAGCGTTGACCCCAAACAGCGGCAGCGCCATTCTGACAGGAACGAACTGCATGCCTAGTGCTGGCGTTGGTGATTTTACGGGCTAGGATATCGGCAACGCCCATGGCTATGAACTAAGTACGAAGTGGAACCCCAATGGTGGCAACCTGCAGCGGTGATGGGAGTCCACCCACCCACCGCCCACCCACCCACCACCCACCCACCACCCACCCACCACCCACCCAACACCCACCCACCACCCACCACCCACCCACTCCTCACCCACCACCCACCCACCACTCACCCTCCGCCCACCCACCGCCCACCCACCGCCCATCCATTCCCCCCCCCACCACCCCACCACCACACACCCACCACCCCGCCCACCCACCACCACCTCCCCCCCCACCAGCCCACCACCCAACCACCACCCACCACCCACCCACCACCCACCCACCACCCACCCACCACCCACCCCACCACCCACCCCACGCCCACCCACCACCCATCATCCCACGCGCCAACCACCCACCACCCACCCACCCACCCCCCACCACCCACCACCCACCAACCACGGGCCAACCACCCACACACCACCCGCCCACCGCTTACCCACCACCCCACCCACCACCGCCACCCACCCCCACTCACCCCCACCCACCCACCACACCCACCCACCACCCACCCACCACCACCACCACCACCCACCACCCACCACACCCACCATCACCACCACCCACCACCCACCACGCACCCACCACCCACCTCCTCCCTCCCCCCCCCCACCAGCCCACCACCCACCCAGCACCCACCACCCCCCACCCACCCGCCCACCACCCACCCACCACCCACCCACCACCCACCCACCGTCCAACCACTGCCCATTCACGTCGGCACTCCTCTTACACGGTTCGTGGCCCATCGGGAGCTCCATCGAAGAATATATAGGCAATTGCGGCGCTTACGACTGCACATGGTTGGGTGTTTCGCCAGGCGAATGTTTGATGCTGCTTCTGGGCCTCCTCCTCCTTCCACCCCGCCCCCGTCATCCAAGAGATGGATTTTAACTTCGTTCCTGCCCGCATGCATCACCCACGCGCTTTTCGGTGCCCCCTCGCGCGTTTCGCGGTGGCCGCACACGGAGTCCCACCAAAGGCGCCAGCGTCATTGCCCGCATGCGTTACCCACGCGCACTTCGGCACTATTCTCACACGTTTCATGGCACCATATGGGGATTCCACCGGATTCCTTAGTGCCACCGCCCGCATGCGTCACCCGCGCGCACTTCGGCATACACCTCTCACGTTTCGTAGCCCATATGGGAGCTCCACCGACGGCCCCAGCATTGGGGCCTCAGTATACAGGAGGGCGCCCCCCCCCCACACACACACACACACACACACACACACACACACACACACACACACACACACACACACACACACACACACACACGTTTCGTGCATGATGGGAACGGGTTGCTGGGACGTTTTGACAGCGCGAGCTCTCGAGTCGCTGGGTGGGCCCCAGGAGGAGCGCAGGAGGAGATGTCTGGGACCCGGGGCTTCTGGGTCAGGAGTCTGCGGGGGTGAGAGCCTGGACCCCATCAGTGCATTTCTTGAATGGTTTTTCGGAATCCTCTTCCCCCCCATCCCCCCCCACTTGTTCTCTGCAAACTATTTTGTATAGCGTTGCGGCGCGAAGGTTCGCTACAACCTATGTTGCACAACTTTGCGGCGCTATCGGGGCCGCCCAGAAAGGGCACCACCCTCATCCAAGGGTTCGTTTTTAACGCTGCTCCTCCGCTTCCTCCTCCTTCCACCACCCCCATCCCCGCCCTCATCCACGAGTTAGGTTTTAACGTCGTGCCTCTTCCACCGCCCGCATGCGTTACCCGCGCCTTTTTTCGGCACAACCCTCACGCGTTTCGTTGCCCCACAGAGAGCTCCACCGACGGCCGCAATACCATCGCCCCAGTGCGCAGAAGGACGCCCCCCCACGTTTCGTGCATGGTGAGGGGGGGCTGATTGGACAAGAAGAGGGGGGGTATCGAGCTGGGCCCGCGTGCGCCACCAAAGCTCGCTTTGGCACACCCCTCGCGCGTTTCGCGGCCCCCTAGGGAGTTCCACCGACGGCCCCAGTAACACCACCCGCATGCCGCGCTCACTCGGGCACACCCCCTCACAGCTGCATATGGTTTGGCCCTTCCCCAGGATAGCTATTGATTTTGCAGCGCGTCTTGCTGAATCCCTAAAGCAGTGTTTGAACGCAAGGATGTCTTCTGGTATCGATGTTGTTCATTATTGGGCGCGGCCCAGATCCGCCTTCGGATGTGCCCTTGGCGCTTTAATGCCCCGCGCGCATCCCCCCACCCCCAGTTGGTCGCAGCCATTTTGGCTCAAAGCCTACGCTGTGAGATCGGCGCCTCGCATTCTCGAAGGCGTTCCAGCGCAGTCTCCGCCACCCGCGAGAGCAGGGATGGGCAAAAAAGGCGTTGTTGACGCAGATCCAGCACCTCAGAGACAGCGCCTTGGAGCCTCTGCCGCGCAGGATCGCGCCTCGGCTGCACGCAGTGGCGGTGTCAGATTGTGTTTGGTTTGCAAGGCGAGCGAGAAGGATTCGCCGTTCCCGACCAATGCTGGTGCACCAGAGTCTGCGCGCCTTCGGTGCTACACCATCTGGATTCCAGCCAAACGCTTCATCATTTTCGCCGAGTGCGCTGCCCTGTGCGCCCCGGACGCGGAGCACAAGCAACACGTCGACACCGCCAGCATGAATTACCCAGACACCCGGGCGCGCGCAGCTGCCATGACGCCAGTCGAAGTGTCGGATTCCAGCTCGGTGTTCATCGAGATTTTCCGCGAGGGCGCGTGGGTCCCCAGCAGCAGGATCAGGAAGGAGACTTCCAACAGCACCACGAAGCAGCTGAAGATCGGCGAGCCTCTCGAGCTGACGGTCCTTGGCGGCACGGGGCATTCTGGGTATATATTTTCTGGCGGGCGGTCCGAGATGCGTGCGAAGGTACCCGTTCAAACCAGGGTCGACAGCAAGCGGGTGACCATGCCGCTGACGGGCCAGCTCGTCCAAGGCTTGGCGAGCTCAGCTATCGCTCACGCCCGTAAGCACGACACTATTGGCGTTCACAACGACACCATCTGCGACTCCTTGGAGGACAGCACCGTGTCTTGGTCAGAGATCAAGGATCGTGGTGCAAAGAATGATGCACTCAGGGCTGCGCGCCGCACGGGCTGTCGAGACGGTGCCGAGGCTCCTGGCGATGAGGATGGTGATGATGCAGCTGATGGAGGCGGGGGCGGTGGTGGTGGAGGTGGATCGCCAGCGGCATGTTCGATGTTGCCCCCATCTGCCAGCCCCAGGGTCAAGAGTGGCAGCGCTCCTCATCGGTCGCCACGGCCTTCGCCATCTCCTCCGAGGAGCCGCAGATCGAGCGGTGCCTCTGATGGCGGGGGGCACGTCGTACCAGCGCCGCCATCATCACTGCAGGTACAGATCTTCTTTGACGGCACCAAGCAGACAGAGATGATTGTATTTCTCGACGTCAGCCAGAGCAAATACGACGCCGGAGTTGACGAGGCCGCAATGCCTGATTCTGCATCCGTGGTCAGTTGTTCAGCCGCGTCTACTACTGCCGACAGCACTCGTGGTGGTCGTGGCAAATCTGGGGCCATCAGGGCCTCCAAGAACCCCACCCACTGGATCAAGAAGCTCAGTTTCGAAAACGCGCTGAGCGGCGTCACGGACAAGCGGGATCTGCACCAAGCTTCGGAGTTCGCTTCTAGGTACGAAGTAAAGTTCAAGGAGGGCACGACGAGCGACGCGCTGAGGAAGCACATGAAGCGCGTGACGCTCTTCGGTGAGACCAGCCCGACGGAGGTTCCACAGACGAGCTGGCCAGCAATTCGGGATGCATTTTCGAACCTCGTCTT